ATTTTTGGGATCTGTGGGTGCCTTCTATAGTAAAACTTTAGTTACTTTTGGTGGTTCAGATATCGCCCTCTAGAATTATTTTTCATCCAGACCAGAGTAACATTTTCTGCTAAAGAGGTGGATGACCTCTTTCAGTTAATCAATAATATGACTGCAAAGGGCATTGATTCTAAGTCCTCCCTCACAGAATTTATTCTCTTCTGTGTCTGTATGAAGAAGACTAAAGATTCAACTGGTGTTGAGTATAAAGAAACTGAGTCTCAGTGGGGGATTGACAATTCCAGTTTACATACCTTCCTTTATGGCTCTCCACCTCAGAGATGACCTTTGCGAAGGTCATAATCTCTGTGTAGCCCCTCGGAGGAAATGGGGTGCTTTGCATCCATCATTACTTGGATGGTATTCTACCTTTGACCCAGAGCCCAGATCACCTACTAGTGCAAAAGGGATTTTCATCTGGCCAGTCTGAGAAGTTGTAGCTGGGAACAGACCCATCTACTTATCAATATGGAAGCCCAGTTCAATGCTCGAGTGAGTACTTTTATGCTCCTTCTCAGAATAGGCCAAGGAGGAGGGAACCTCTTCGAAAGTGGTATCTCTGTCAGTTTTGTCATGCTTCCCAATTCAGGGGTCTCCTGGAAACGATGATATCTTGCATACCTATGCTACCCTGGGCACACTGGATTCTCTGCAAGCTGCAAAGAATTTCCTTTTTGCAATACAGAAGTCGGCACTTGAGCTGATTCAAAGTGCTTCTCCTCAGATGTGCAGGAGTCTCTGGGTATGGGTGTGACAGGGGATCACTCAATTCCATATGGTAGGTTTGTTATCTTGTACTATTGTCACCTTTGATGCCTGTGCTACAGGGTGGATCGCCACCTGTAGTCACTATGTGCACTGTCACTTCGCATTCAGGCTTGACTGGCTATTCTGCATGATGTTAACATAGCAGCAGTGTCATGCATTTAGAAATAAAGGAAACTCAACAGCAGGTTGCAATGGAAGTGGAACTATCATGTTCATGACCAAATATAATCTTCAGAGGCTGCGGGCACTCAGGATGCCAAAAAGGGGCTGTGGCACCAGCTGTTTTTGGTTCCTAATGAATGGGTCTTTAATCGAAAAGATTTTTCCAATATCACTCAAGTATGGGGCCTCCCTCAGTTGATCCTGTTTGCATCACCATCCTTTCACAAGGTGCCTCTCATGCTACCCTCACCCGTTGGAGGAAGTGGACCCTTACTCAGCCAAGGAATAGTTGCCTAGCAAATGGCTTTCCTCTACTGCCTTTGGTCATGAAGTTCCAGGGGGGGACTGTTTTTCGAGTGTCTCACTGTGATAACACGCATGCCATATTAGCCTCCAGGTCTGGATTTTACCCTAGCCATGGAACTGGAGTCTGGACCAAGAATTTCAGCTACCAGTGTTTCCACAACACCTGGCCCAGGATGGATTGCAAATTGAGAGAGAGGGATTGAAGGATTAGGGCCATCCTCTTTCAGTGGTAAGTCCTGCAGAGTTTCAGGAAGGATACAAACAAATGCAATTTACTCCGAAGTCTGGAACAAGTTCCCAGCCTTTGCAACCGAGCAGGATTTTGATCCTAGCAACCCAGTGATTGCCCAGTTGCTTTAATTTCCTCACACAGATCTGGATTTGGGTCTCAGCCTAGTTCTGTAGGGGCTCAAATTCCAGCCATTACAGCTTCATCAGGTAATATGAGCATGTGAGCTGCCAGGGTAACATTTCAGGAGGTTGGTCCTGAGACTGCCCTGAGGAGGAAAAACATTTTCCCTGTGGGATTTTATTCTGGCACTGCATTTCCTTGCACCAATAGACAGGAGTCTTCAGTAGGACATCACTCAAAGCAGTGCCCCTCAATAACTTCAGGGGGCAGAGTTTTGGACCTGCAAGGGCTTCAAGCTAGAGAGTCCTACATCTTCTTTCTTTCCGAACATGTTGGGGCCTATGCCCCTCGAGCACCTTTTCCCCAGGTGGCTTCAGTTTTCATCTTACAAATTGGTGATTCCATCCTTTCTGGCACAGATGGTACCTAACCTACACAAGCTTGATGTACCAGGTATCTAAGATTGCCTACCTTCAAGCTGCTTCCTTATTTAAATCCTCTGGGAGGCTGTTCGTGTTTCCATCAGGAAAATTCAGAGGAGGAAACCTTGTCATCTTGCAGTGTCAAGGTCATCCTGAAAACATAGTGTAGCCAGGCAAGAGCCTCCAGAAGTGGTAGAGGCTTATTCAGCCAGGTCCATCACCACATTCGGGGCAGTGCATGCAAAGTTTCTATGAAGACTTTTGCAAAGCAGCAGGATAGTTACCACAGTGCACCTGCCTCAGGCTCTGCAGGGAAGATCCAGGGGTTTATACGTCAATGGACTTCAAAAGAATGGTAGTCTAGGCTTCCATATCCATTGTAATGCAGTTTGATTATACAGTTTAGACCTCCCTGTTTAGCTAGTTATTTATCACATGTATGCTGTCATGTTGGCATCAGAAAAATGGAAAATTGTATCATACTTACCGTAATTTTCCTTTCCTGATGCCAATCCATGGCAGCATATGAACCCTCCCTTGTTTGATCTTGATTGTATGGAGAATGGGGGAGGCTGCTCTCAGTCAGACCTTTAAAGCTATGCACAGGTCCTGTGGGTTGATATAGGGGCGGAGATATATTACATGTATGCTGCCATGGATTGGCATCAGGAAAGGAAAATTACGGTAAGTATGATACAGTTTTCCATTTTTTTGCTCTTTTTGTACAATTTATATTTGTTGTACAAACCTGAAGTTTTTTAATAAACTTTCTGGGGAAAAACAAAAAGTAGAGATAAAAGTTAAACTTTTTTTTTTCATTTTGCATAGTGTAAAGGAGGTCTATAACCAGTATCAGTTTTTTTGGCACTTGCTTCACAGTGGGGACATTTTTTATTTCCCTTTTCTGTCACAGCCAAAAACAGGAAGTGGAAATCCATCTAAAGTAAGAGATTCCCCGGTTGTCAGGAGGGATATCCAAAAATAATGCCCCAATTGGAATATCTCCTCTTCTGGTGACAACAGAAAATTTGGGATTGTTTTTCATTTTCACTTTTGGTGATTGCAGTAAACAGGACAAATACCAAGGGTGCACAGGGGCACAAATAAGAATAAAAACCTGCTGGTAAGAATTCTCCTCACTTCTAAAACAGAGTGTTACAGGGACAAGAACCGAAAGGAAATCTCTTCAATGGGAAATGAAGTAGCAGCAAAAACATTGTTTTAGAAGAAGACAACAATAAAACTTGACATACTGTGGGTTCTAAGCTTCCTTCACCCTATCCACAACAAAAAAAAAAGGATTGGCTGGAGTTTGGATTTAATAGATTTTTCCATATTTTAGGCAGCCATTGATCCATCCATCAGAACAAGCTTCCTGGGATATGTTTTAATGCTTTCATTACCCATGAGTGATATTTTTTACAATTTAGCTATGGTAATTACTTGGATAGCAATACCCATTAGCTTTGGTTTTATTACTGGACTGGGCTATTTGGAATGTAATGAAACAGTTTATTCATTCACTAACCAAGTATTTACCTACTGTATTTGCATTGTTTAACAAGCTACATCATAGATTCCCAGCCAGTCTATCATCTTCCTATTTTATGTTGTTTTTTTCAGTTTACTAAAGTAAAGAAGAAAATAACCATTTTCCCCTAAAACTGCAATGTATTGTACTAACAAAACTGGAAACACGTTCTGGGGGCCATTTATGAAATCTGGCTCTGTGTTCGAGGTCATTAATCTGCCTCTGCTTTTATTTTAAATGCAATTTAGGGCTAAATTTATAACTTGTACGTATTTTGGGTAGTGAATTAATGACAGTGAAAATGAACTGCGTGTGCTCCTTGGCACTTGTAAGTTCTGTGACAGATGTGAGGTTGAATTACCTTGCTAAGTGGCCACAGTTGAGGCACAATCGTAAAAACAGTTGCAGCGTCACTTTGGTTCCAAAAGTAATGCTAACATATTTGCATGCAACATACATACTTGAACTGCTGATTTAAGATGCATTTGTAATAATACATGTTTCCCACTGTGTTTGGGAATTAGTGAACATTGATTAATAACCAAGATTTTGTATAATATGAAAACCACCTAATGGTATTAATCCATGACAAAACCTTATCTGTCTGACCTGTGCTCTGTACAGCCTTTGAAAAACTACTATGACATTTCTAATGAAGCAAACAGAGCTTTAACCTCTGCAAACATCCTGCATTTTACCACACCTACAGGACTAATTCTTTTTATAAATCTTTGTAGGCAACAATAGGCACCACCTAAATAACTCCAGCAAATGGAAGCCATATAATTAAATTGTAACTGCCAGTGCCACTTCCCAAGACACTTGAGATGTTAACCCATAGTGACCATCTATTCTCAAAATAAATTTATGCAATGCGAATGTGTACAGTAAGTACACCCATGATAATTCTTGACTTTTTCAACATATTTGAACGGATAGTCATTCAAACAGAGCCTACAGATAAGAGTGGTGGAGTGGTAAAATGGAAAGTAAAGCTATTTCGGGGGTAAGTTTTAAAGATTAATCACATATCCTGTTATAGATTGCAAAGACCATGGACCAAAATGGCTTAATCATCGGATAGTCCCACCAAATATGTAGGTAAGAACCTTTCTCAATTTGTCTTATTTAACCCCTTGCCTACTGGGCACTTTCACCCCCTTCCTACCCAGGCCAATTTTCAGCTTTCAGCGCTGTCGAACTTTGAATGACAAGTGCACGGTCATGCAACACTGTACCCAAACAAATCTTTTTTTTTAGTGGCAGACAGAGTTTTTTCTTTTTGTGGTATTTTATCACCATTGGGGTTTTTATTCTTTACTAAATAAATGAAAAAAGACCAAAAATGTAGGGAAAAAAAAAAGTTTTCTTTGCTTCTCTTATAAAATTTTGTAAATAACTAATTTTTCTCCTTCACTGATGGGCACTGATGAAGCTGAAGTGATGGGTACTTATAGTCTGTACTGATGGGTACTGATGATGCGGCACTGATAGGCAGCACTGATGAAGCTGCACTGATAGGCATTAATATGCAGCACTGATAGGCAGCACTGATAGGTGATGCTGATGGGCACTGACAGGCATCACTGATGGGCACTGAAAGGCAGCACTGATGGGCACTGAATGGCAGTACTGATGATCAGTGCCTTATTATCAGTGTAGATGTCGCCTGTTCGGATTGCTGCTTACCCACTCTCCTTTCCTTACATGGCATCAGCATGAGGAGAGGACTATCGATAACCGGCAAATCCTGTTTAAAATGTGATCAGCTGATCACATGGTAAAAGGTTGCTGTGATTGGCCCTTTACCTCATTCTGTGACCAGCTGTGTTGATGGACACACCAATCACAGAATGTGCTCAATGCGTGCCACAAGGGCGTGCTTGGGGGTGGGGTTTTGGGAAGATGTCAATAGAAGCTCTCCCAGAGCTAGACGAGCGTGCTATAGCTGTCATTTGGCTATAGCATGTTAGGCAAGAGGTTAAACTCAGACATCTAGAGGCTGATTTTCAAATCAAATGAAGCTTACCTAGACACACCCACTCCTCCAGACTGACATCTACTCATCAAGGCATTTTGATATTTTCATAACTGCCCCCAAGAGCCAACCCACTGCTTGAATCATGGCTATGAGTTCTTGAGAAGAGTACTGGGGGGCAGCGTGCTGTGCTGTTTTCAGGAAGCTATGTACAGCATTGTTCTGGTCCCTGCCAGCTATGATTGGAATGCATTCCATAGAGACACAAAGAGAGCCAGTAATGGCATCATTGGGACCAAAAAAAGCTTTGCAATGAAAAAACTTTTAAGTTTCTACTAGCATTTTGATGGGTTGAGAAAAGGAACCAGTGAAGGAAAAATAAAACCCTTCCCTCCAGCAAGGCATTAATGGGGTTCCCAACCATGTGGTTGGCTGTCACAGAGATCATGTGACTGGGAACCCATCCTACTGATTCTCTATTGTCACTGGGTGGCCAGGAGCTGTTGGTGACAGCTCGGTTATTGTACCAGAGGTTTGTGATTGAGCATGCTCCAAGTACAAAACATACTGTACACACATAAGAAGCAGCACAGAATAAAGACCACCTCTATGTTGCTGAATCTCTGCGAATGGCCAGCATTAAGGAGTTTAACTTCAACTTTAATGGTCATGCCAGTTTCACTTTGAAATCTTAGTGGATGGCTGCAGTTTAGCTGCCCCTCTATAACAGCCACAAGTTTTTAGTTTGGTTTCTATTACATTTAAAGTACCCAAACTGTATCTAAGTTCAATAATTATTGTTTACATTTTGTATAAAGTGTGGAAGATAGAAACGCTGTCAGGTTTTTGTTGCTGTCTGTGTCCCACACTGTTGAGTTTCACACTAATTGTCCTAATAATGTTGTATTTAGACTCAAAGCCAAATATTTTTGTTGTCGCTGGAAAAGGAATTATAATGTACTCTTTCTTAGGGACACTTTGGAGAGATCGCCACTGTCTTCCTATAATGTATTAACACAGGAAAGGAAAAGGAAGGAAAATTTCCTCAAAATGACACAAACAACCACAAAAAAAACTGGACATATGTTTTAATAATTCCCTAAACAAAAACTAAAATAACCCATATGGAAGAAAAATATATTTTAAATATTTTTAAAATATTCTTCCCAAATATATTGACATACATTTGAAATGCTACAATTTTGGCGATATTCAATATATTTAAAAAAAACCAAAAATTTTTATATATATATATATATATATATATATATATATATACACACAGTTGCAAGAAAAAGTATGTGAACCCCTTGGGATTACGTGGAGTTTTGCATGAATTGGGCATAAAATGTGCTCTGAACGTCATCTAAGTCACAACAATAGAAGAACACAGTCTGCTGAACATAATACTACACAAACAGATGTTGCCATGGTTTAATTGCACATAACATGTAAACATTCACAGTGCAGGGAGGAAAGTATGTGAGGCCCTAGCTTAATGACTTCTCCCAGAGCTAATTGGAGCCACGAGTGAGCCAACCTTGACTCCAATCAGTGTGATGATATTGGATGTGTTGCTGACAGCTGTCCTGCCCTTAAAAAAAACACACACCTGTTTTGGGTTTACTGGTTTCAAGAAGCACTGTCTGATGTGAACCATGCCTCGCAGAAAAGAGCTCTCAGAAGACCTACAATCAAGAATTGTTGACTCGCATGAAGCTGGAAAGGGTTACAAAAGTATCTCCAAAGCCTTGATGTTCATGTGTCCACGGTAAGACAGACTGTCTACAAATGGAGAAAGTTTAGCACTGTTGCTACTCTCCCTAGGCATGGTCGTCCTGTAAAAATGACTGTAAGAGCACAGCGCAGAATGCTGCATGAGGTAAAGAAGAATCCCAGAGTGTCAGCTAAAGACCTACAGAAATCTCTGGCACATGCTAACATTTTTGTTGACACATCTACAATAAGGAAAACACTAAACAAGAATGGAGTACATGGGAGGACACCACGGAGGAAGCCATTGCTGGCCAAAAAGAATATTGCAGCACGTTTGAAGTTTGCAAAAGAGCACCTGGATGATCCACAGCACTACTGGCAAATACTGTGGACAGATGTAACCAAGATTGAGTTGTTTGGGAAGAACACACAACACTATGTGTGGAGAAAAAAAGGCACAGCACACCAACATCAAAACCTCATCCCCACTGTAAAACATGGCGGAGGGAGCATCATGGTTTGGGGCTGCTTTGCTGCCCCAGGGCCTGGACGGATTGTTGTCATTGATGGGAAAATGAACTCCAGAGTTTATCAAGACATTTTGCAGGAAAACGTACGTCCATCTGTCCGCCAACTGAAGCTCCGCAGAGGATGGGTGATGCAACAGGACAATGACCCAAAGCATACAAGTAATTCAACAAAACTATGACTGCAACAGCACAGAATACGCCTTCTGGAGTGGCCCAGTCAGAGTCCTGAACTCAACCCGATTGAAATGCTGTGGCATGACCTTAAGAGAGCGATTCACACCAGACATCCCAAGAATATTGCTACACTGAAACAGTTTTGTGAAGAGGAGTGGTCCAAAATTACTCCAGATCGTTGTGCAGGTCTGATCTGCAACTACAGGAAGCGTTTGGTTGAAGTTATTGCTGCCAAAGGAGGGTCAACCAGTTATTAAGTCCAAAGGTTCACATACTTTTTTCTCCCTGCACTGTGAATGTTTACGTGTTATATGCAAATAAACCATGGCAACATCTAATGTTTGTGTAGTATTATGTTCAGCAGACTGTGTTCTATTGTTGTGACTTAGATGACGTTCAGAGCACATTTTATGCCCAATTCATGCAAAACTCCACGTAATCCCAAGGGGTTCACATACTTTTTCTTGCAACTGTATATACTTACTGTATGTTGAAATGCATTATTACAAAATATATTGAAAATATTTTTTAAAATACATTTCAAATATACTGTATGTCTTTAAAAATACAAATCTATATTTTTGGAATGCATTTACAAATATATGTAAAAATATATTCTTAAGATTTTTTTTTTAACATATAAAAAGTAATTTAAAGAACATATTTTTAAAAATTATATTATAAACACACAAAAAAAGTAATGTTAACATATATTTGTAAATGCATTCCAAAAATGTAGATTTGTATTTTTAAGACATACAGTATATTTGAAATGTATTTTTAAAAATATTTTTCATATATCTTGTGGTAAAAATGCATTTCAACATACAATATATGTGTGTGTGTGTGTGTGTGTATGTGTATATATGTGTGTATATATATATATATATATATATATATATATATATATATATATATATATACACACACAGGGGCGGGCAGACAACTCATGGGGCCCCGGGCAATAGGGGATCATGGGGCCCCTGTGTCCTTGCCCAAACTCCAAAAAGCCTATGAAAAAGGTACCAGGGGCATTTCATGGGGCCCCCTACTGACCCTGGGCCCTCGGGCAGTGCCCGAGTTTCCAAATGGTCATTCTGCCCCGTATGTACGTGTGTGTGTGCGTATATTTATTTATTTATTGAAATATATTGCATATGGCCAGAATTGTAGCATTTCAAATATATGTCAATATATTTAAGAAGAATATTTTTAAAATATTTTTCAAATATATTTTTCTTCCATGTGGGAACTTTTATGAGAGATTATCTTAAACTTAATACACATGATCAGAAAATTGTACAAAAAAATATCGCTTTCGTACAGTAAGTTGATTGTTAGTACACAGTATTCATCTGAAATTATTTGAAGGAACAAGCATGAAACTTTTTCTCATACGATAGCAGATTGTACGACTTTCGTTTAGTCAGTACAGTTTTCATCTGAAAACACAAATACACTACATTATATCAGTTTCAAAATTTTATTCTGTTGTACAATAATTTTCATCACTTTAATAACCTCTTTACTTTCGATATGAGACTAGCGAAAACCGATCATTCATTCAATATTCTCATCGTGTGTATGAGGTCCTATTTAGAGTCATGGAGACCATTAATTTGTTGTGATTCCATTATCTGTAAAAAGCAGAGATTGGAGTCTTACATATATTTATTTATTTAAGAAATGGAATCCTTCAGCCCTCAGCTAAGAAGGTGCAAGTCTAAGCTGTAGAAACTAGTGAGGGAATTGATATATTTGTGTGGTAAGCATACTCACCTGGGTCATTCTAGCTATGCAACTGTAAAATATTACCGTTTTTTGTCTGAAAGTTGAAATCTCTGGGTAGGATATGGGAACTACAGCTGAATTCCAATATATTATTGGCTTTCCCAAGACTTTATCATTTGTTTACTTTCCATTGTTGGCTTTCACAAGGATTTAAAACTGTATATGACTGTTTTTATCAATCAGTGTCACCAGATGTACAAGCTATCAGGTGACCCATCCATACAATGGAAGAACATTTTCACTGCATTGTACAATTTATATACTGCTAATGTTCATGTATATACAGTATGTGGGAAAC